TACGTTCTATATACTTTTATCCTATACTAAGTATAAGTAGTACTAGCCGTTATACTTTAATATCTAATAAGCTACGCCTCTCGAGCTATATACTCCTAGCTCTTATACTATAGTAGAACTAGTAATTAGTTAAGTAGTATATAACGAAGTTATCTAGCGTACGAGCGAATTTAGAAATAAAATAGAAATAAAGCGATTCGAGGACTAGTATAAAAGGATTAATACGTAGCAAAAGAAAAGCTAAATCGCTTAGTAAGCTAGCCGCGAAACTAATTCTTATTTAAGGATACCGACGAGAACGAGCTATTTTAAGTCTATCTATAGCTCGATAAGTTTAAGGAACCTCCCTTACTATATATAAGGACTTACTACTAGCTCTAGCGTTTTCTTATAAGCGCCTCTTACTATCGTTTTCTTAGTATATATAGGATGCCTATCGCTATATTATAGCTAAAGGACCGATATTATAACTATAGAAGGTATATAGTAGGAAGGGTAGCTCTATATATATACTAGACTATCGACTACTTATAATACGTATATAAGATCTAAAGCATAATAAGACTACTAGCCTTTATACGTCGTAGGCTTATCTAGAATAGACCTAAGAACTATTCTAGTAATACTATAAGGTAACTATTTTAAAAGCTAGAATTTTATTTTTAGAGCTAGAATATCGATTTTTAAGCTAGAATCGAGATTCCTTATAGTAAAATAAGATTCTCGATATAGATTTTAGCTTTTAATAGCTTCTACTACTTCTAGAATCTAAATACTAAGCTAGGAATCTCGTTTTAATAGCTAGAATTTCGTTTTTAGAGCTAGAATCTTATTTTTAGAGCTAAAATCTAGATTCCTTATAGTAAAACGAGATTCCCGACTTATATTCTAGGCTCTAATAAGTTCTACTACTTTTAGAATCTAGATACTATAAAAGAAATTTTATTTTAAGAGCTAGAATCTTATTTCTAGTACTAGAATTTTATTTTTAGTACTAGAATCTAAATTCCTTATAGTAAAACAAGATTCCCGACTTAGATTCTAGATTCTAATTATTTTTACTACTTTAAGAATCTAGATACTATACTAGGAATCTTATTTTAAGAGCTAGAATCTAGTTTTTAGAGCTAGGATTTAATTTTAGAGCTTTAACTTAGATTCCTTAAGCTAAAACGAGATTCCTAATATAAATTATAAATTCTAGTAGCTTCTACTACTCTAAGAATCTAGATACTATAATAGGAATCTCGTTTTAAAAGCTAGAATCTTCTAGACTTTCGATTTTAAAGCTAGAATTTTATTTTTAGAGCTAGAATCTAGATTCCTTAGAGTCAAACGAGATTCCCGATCTAGGTTCTAGATTCTAACTACCTCTAATACTTCTAGAGTCTAGATACTCTATTAGGAATCTAGTTTTAGAAGCTAGAATCTTACTAGAATTCTATTTTTAAAGCTAAAATCTAATTTTTAGAGCTAGAATCTAGATTCCTTAAGTTAAAACGAGATACCTAACTTATATTTTAAATTCTAATAGCTTCTACTACTTTTAGAATCTAGATTCTAGTAGAGGAATCTCGATTAAAGTACTAGAATCTAGATTTTTAAGCTAGAATCTCGTTTTTAGCTCTAGAATCTAGATTCCTTAGAGTAAAATAAGATTCCCGACTTAGATTCTAGATTCTAATAGTTTCTACTATACTTATAATCTAAATACTATATTAGGAATCTTGTTTTAAGAGCTAGAATCTTATTTTTAAAGCTAGAATCTAGATTCCTTAAGCTAAAACGAGATTCCTAGTATAACTTATAGATTCTAGAAGTAGTAGAAACTACTAGAATCTATAATCTAAGTCGGGAATCTTATTTTAGAAACTAGTATCTCGTTTTAGAAGCTAGAATCTTACTAGAATCTCGTGTTTAGTACTAGAATCTTATTTTTAGTACTATAATCTAGATTCCTTAGCTTAAAACGAGATTCCTAGTATAGTATCTAGATTTTAGAAGTAGTAGGGGGTAGTAGAATCTCGTTTTAGAAGCTAGAATTTCGTTTTTAGTACTAGAATCTCGTTT